AAACGTGCTTGGTGCCCTATTTGCTTCTGCACAATTTCAAGCTGGAACTTGGGCTGGAGCCCACAGGAATGTGGGTGGAGCGTCGGCACATGTTTACTGGGAAAGTGAAGCCCCAAAGAAGCTGCTGCTGCCCTTAGCCTCTCTGAGACTTTACTCAACCCAAAGACCCATAGTGCTCCCAGAGCAGAATGAAGGTGGTGGGTACAGGGAGCAAAGCAGAGTTAGACAGGGAGCTGAGTAGGAGGAACAGAGCAGACCAGCGATGGAGCAATGGGGGTGAAGAAGCAGCTTGCTTAATATGATTTTTAAAAAACATTTCTTTTGAATATTTTTATTTTTAAAATTCTCTCCTGCTGTAGGAGTCTGTTCTTTTATAGCCTGGAACAGACATAAGCTGGAGTGCTGGATATACTATAAACTAGTGTTTCTCAAGGACGGGTCCGTGGACCAGCGCCGGTCTCTGTTTAGAAAGGCAGCAAGCTGGTCCCGGGTATCAAAAAGGTTGATCAACACGGCTATAAACCACAGTTACTGACTAGTCCCAGCTACCCATACAGCTATCCTATTAACCTGATGGCTAAGGGACTGATCTTCTTAAACTCTCTGAGTACCTCAGTAGGGGTGTTGCCAGCCTGACTGGGCTCTCAGCAACTGTTAGGAAGTGCTCAACACTTTGCATGATCGAGCCCTGCACCCAGAGTTTTGGAAATGCTGGTCATCAAGGGCTGGACACCAGGTAGCGGATTACTGTTGAGGTCCTGGGTATCTTTAAATCCCATGGATTTCACATAGGAGATGTGTGGCGAATGCCCTTTGCAGGAGTGCTTCAGCATCTCACAGGCCCGGGTCCCAATGTCCCCATTAGCTTGAATGGCTGGCTCAGTCCTTTACCCTGAAGTGTACAGCAACGTCACAGTGCTGTGCTTTGAAGATTACATAGGAGAATTGGGTTCTTATTCAAGAACTTTTTCCATCTCTTTTATTTAATGCACCTCCCCTTTCCCAAATGATTTATCTGAAGACTCCTTTTGAACTGACCCTGACATCGTTTTTGGATTCAGATTTCTTTCAGTGGCTTTATATTTGGCCTTTGTTTCTGTTTCTGTTGTTGCACCTTTGAGCCTGATTCTGCCACCCTTACTCACCTTGAGCATTACCTTACTCCAAGAATAGTTACGCTGAAATGGAGGAAGGGTACTGTGACATTATCTGATTGAAATATGACCATGTAGATCACTGTTGCTACCACTGCTATATAATTGCAGCAAATCTTGTACAAAGTATGTCAAATAAGGTGTCTATGGAAATATTATGATTTGCTGTATGTGATTATGCTATTTGTGTGCATGTATCATTTTTGTATCTGAAATTATGAATATTAACAGTACCTGTGTTTCAAATGTTTGCTCATGCGGAGACACCAACAAGGTGTTTAGTCAGCACATTGTGAAGAAACTATTCAAGTTGAATGGCCCATCAAAGAACACATAACTCACAATGGAAGATGCCTATCTACACATAATGAATTTTCCTGTGAACATTCTAACTGGAGTATGGGTAATGGATTCTGCTATGACTAAGCGAATCATGCATGGACACGTGACTTGCCCATGTGACTCCAAACACCATCTTATTGCCTGTAATTTTCCACAGTGAGAACAATGAGTTTCCATTCACTTGGCAAAAGCTATAAAAGGCGTTGGAAACATCTCAATTTCGCCTCTTTCCTCCGCAAACCTCTGGACTATGCACTTATACTAATGGGAGCATTCTAACCAAGGGACTGAGGACCTTCTAGTTATTTGGAAGCAACCAGAGACTTAACAAGCCAGCAGTTTATTCCATCACTGCTACAAGCCTGAACCAAGAACTTTGCAATTATTGTACGTATTTGATTCCTTTAGTCAATTTTAACTATCATCTTTCTTTTGGGGGAGGGATAGCTCAGTGGTTTGAGCATGGGCCTGCTAAACCCAGGGTTGCGAGTTCAGTCCTTAAGGGGGCCATTTAGGGAACTGGTGTAAAAATCTGTCTGGGAATTTGCCCTGCTTTGAGCAGGGGGTTGGACTAGATGACCTCCTG